ACGCAAAATGTTAAGTATTTCATTAAAGGGCTTTTCCCGAAAAATGTGACACGCGCCAGATATTTTAAGCGTAACGACTCGGAAAATTGTTCCAGTACGATTACAAATAACCGTGCACAGTAAACGATTGTAATAGAAACATAATTAAACTATGAAACGATGAATCGATATAACGTACTCTGATAAATGCCGGCAATAATTTTTCAGTGAAATACATCGGGATTCAAATCGATTTTAATCTCCGCTTCGAAAACCATATCCATGCGAGTTTATCGTAAAAGTAATTGCATACGATAATTCATCGTTAACATGTGCACAGATCGTGATTATCTCGCGGTGGGGCGCCCAGGAGAAATAAACGAGCGCAAGCTGCTGTGTATCGAGATGATAACTCGTACCCGCGTGTACTATCCTCAACCGCGAATATGGGTAGCCAGGCTGATTAAGAAGGAGTTCGCTTGGAGAGAGGAGACGCGAGTGGCTTGGCGCAACTATCGGTAAAGTTTAATTAGCGTTAACTTTACGATACTCCGCGGTAGGCCGACTGGTGGGTCGACTTACTTCCCACTCGCGCGAAATTAGACAGTAACAAAGAAGCACGGGCGAAATTAATATGATCGAACGGGAACTTAATGGGGATCGATACAGTATCCTGTTGCGATCGCAGAAATCTTACACTTTAAAAAATGTTGGTGTGGATTTAGTATCGTACAATGTTTATATTCTCATCAACATGATGTTGATTTAACACCATGAGTGTAAATTTAATATTACATGTATTGAAACAATTTCGTATTGAAAATAATTGTGGTCATTTTTTTATTCGATGACTGATCTTTAATCAATGTCCGATTTAATGTTAATTCATTGATATTATAACTGGATTTATTTATATTAGTTTTCTAGTATTTCTAGTATTTCTAAGCATTTCTAGTAATTCAAGTATTTCTAGTAATAGTTTTATAACCTAAATCATTATAAGAATTCATTGGAATTTTTATTAATTTAATGAATATTTTATTGTTATTTACGTACAGTTTCAGTTCAGTGGAACGATTTTGCTGAAGTATATAAAAATTTAGATATGAAAATAATTTTGTTGGGCCATTAAAATAATTATTATTTAGAAATCTCAAATATGATAAGCAAAACTTCATAAAGTTTTGACATTCCAGCAACTAGTGTGCCTAATGAATACAAAAAATTCCAAATTGTATTTATTCAAAATTTTTACATAAAAAAAAATGTAATCATATATTCATTCAAAATTTGGGTTTTCAAAAAATATTTATTTACAAAAAACTATGAATATTTAACGAATATTCATATTCAAACAAAATATAAACTGAAAAAAGCTCCAATAAGCAATCGTTACCCTTAACCGGCTCTTTGATGACTTTAAATAAAAAAAAATTAATTCTATTTATTTTTGTCATTGTAATATTAAAATTTTATGAAGAAAACTTAGAAATTTTGAAAACTATTTTAGAAAGTAACATATTTTTAATTTATAAATATCTATTTGATAGAACGCCATACATATTCCGATATAATTCCGGTTATATCCCAATAATGTCATAAAAATATGTTATAAGATATATTGAGCGCGTCGTTCATTATAGTCTGTGGACATTAAATTCCGAGATATATTATTTATTTCCAATAAAAATATCTTTGTTTAACCTATATAATCGTAGCCATTGTTTTTATAGATTTCTGTTTTCTCTTGTAGGCTTGCAAGCTATAATGTACAGAGTAAAAGTGGATACGAAATGAAAATATTCGTAATCATATTCAAAAAATATTTATTCGAATGGAATGAAAAAGTATTTATTCGTTTCTTGACGAATAAAAGAGAAGTGTATTCTAATAAATATTTTAATTTATTTTTTATTCATTTATTTGAATATTAGATATATTCACCGGACACTACTAGCAACCAATCAGTTTGAGCATTCTACGTAATCATTTTTTTGATGATCCAACATTATTTTCAGATCTGTATCTAGATTTTTATTTCAACAAAACCTTTTCAAACATATTTTCAAACTTCTGATGTAAAATCAGCTTATATTTATGTTTACATCAACACAATAAGAATTATATTATTATAATTATATCATTTAACATCTAGATGTTAAATGAAATCCGCACCCATATTTTTTAATTAGACTGTAATGATTTTTCGGGTTTCAGTTAAAGTTTAAAGGAGCTCATGTACTCTGCGACTTCTAATGTCTTCTTGACATTCAGCTGTTACGCAAAAGAATCAGACGCGTAGAGTAGGTAACCGCGCGAAAAATTAAGGATTCGTCCTGCGCTGGCGAACGTTCGATCTCTTCTCCCCTGACGACTCGCGACCGCGAGCAAGATAAATGGGCGTCCTAGCTCGGCCCGTCTTATCCCGTAAGGAACACACAAACTTCGCTTTCCTCTCTCATTCTCGGTGAGTAAAACGATTCATTTCTAGCCAACCGCCATGCTCCACCTCCCCCGTCGCCGTCGTTGTCTTTTTCTGCGACTACGCTGGATAAATGGGACACGCTCCTTCGTTGTCTTCCTTTTGCTCCTCTTATCATACGATCTTCCACGTTACCCACACTTTCTTCTGCCTTCCCCCCCCCCCTCCCTCTTTAGAGAACTCATAGGCGCCAACTTTCCGTACGACCGTACGGCTCTTCTTTTCCCCCCCCCCTCTCACCCTTCATCTTTAGACATTGTGATGGATGTTTCGTATTAAAACTGTCGGCAGCCACGATGGATCGTGCGGATATTTAATTATCTACTCCATGAACGCTCCTATCAAATCTGCGTGTTTTTTAAATCTTCAAGCATTTTAAATATGGAATTTTATATAGAAGATATATTTTATAATTCCAAAATATAATTTGTCTGTGATACTATATATCAAATGATCGCTGTAATAATTCAACAGTAGGTACGGAAGTAGTACAGAGAAAACAGTTTCTGATGAATTATTATGTTAACTTAGTTCCATTATCATCGTCGCTTATTAATACAGTTTCTCAGTGTTTCAATTAGTTTCTTCGCTTCCCTCTCTTCATCTCTCTTCCCCGTCTCTTCTCTCTTGGGATGTGTCTTGAATTTAATTATATTATTTAAGATATATGTTGTAGCAAACCAACAGCTAAAAGATTAAGTTTACAAATATTAAATAAAATTCTAGTAAGGGGTTGTTTCTATCAATACAGAGCGCTGGAAAACTGTATCTCAATATTATGTATATATACAGGCAAAATCTCTCAGGGCATTGCAACTTCGACGCTTATGTTTTCTCAACGCCCTTATTCTTCTTCCGTTCCTCTTTTCTTTCCTGATAGAGCAAGCCAAACAGCCGAGCAAACAGCTATAGGAACAGGATATCCCTCGCGAGATAAGGGAGTCAGGACGATCGCGCGTGAGAGCGAATAAATAGCAACGGCAACGTTTTAGTCGTGAACTTTTTCCTTTTCAGGATGGTAAATGATGGTGCTTGTTCCCGATGGGGATGTGCAAAGGGGTAACAGTTTCTACATCTTATCACTTTCCAGTGACTTTTTCATGAAATAGCATAGTACGTAATAGACAAAAAAAGAGAAAAGGAGTTTGTAAAAGAAACCTATTGCATTATCTTTCTTTCTTCGGCAGCAGATCTCGTATATTTTTTATACTTAATTCTCCGAAGCCTGACATTAAAATCTGTAACAGTTACTGATGCTGTGTCTGTAAGATCTCTATTTAATTTATGTTAGTTAAAAATCTCTGTGAAGTTAGCAACTCATCTTGAATAAAAAAATAACTTTCTTACAGTTCTGAATACACTTGGAAGAGTTCTAGAGTTTCTGAATAAAATTAAAAATAATTCTAGTAAATTAAATTTAAAAAACTAATTAAAGCATTAATTAATTTTAATAAATTGAAGTGATAACTCGTATAAAAACCGAATATTTTATTACGTATATTTTAATAAGAATAATTCAAATTTTTGCAGGTGTAACATGAAGAAAATTTAATTATTTGACAATACTTTTGATAATATTTTTGAGGCTTTTTTGGGGTTTTTTCTTCAGAGGTGTCAAAGGATTTGCGGATTATCGCCGTTTCATGAACCTTATCGTTTATTTTATCAGGGCGAGGAGCGCACTGATACTGATCGTTTTGACATGTTTGACAAAGAGATTTAATTGAGTAAGTCCAATAAATCCACGTCAACTCCAGAGGGTTTAAAATTTACAATATAGACTACATGATCTTTCCTATGAAATTTTCTAGCCGGATGTGCAATCGAATTTATTGTGTCAAGTAAAACTGAAGAAACGTTATTTCGAAATATTATTTTTAAAAAGAAATCTGTCTTTTGTCGAAGAGAATTTCATAATGTATTATCTAGACACGTAAATAAATATATTTTTCTCTCCTTCATGTTTGCTATTAAAGCGTCAGTTGCTTCTGACAGATCCGATATAGCCGACGTTCGTCGCCACAGAATAAATACTTGCGACGTGCACCTCACAGTCTCTCTCTCTCTCTCTCTTTAGCTCCGCATTTATTCGCCGCTTCCGCTTCCTCCACTTCAGACTTGCGAGGTTTATCTTCATGTCTCTCTTCATGTTCCACGTTCCCGCCAAGTTCGCGTCACGAGCTTGACATCGGTTTGTCTCACTTCATCTTCTCCGCCGCAACTGGATTCATGGATCCGTTCGAACTTGGCGAGATTAACTTGGTCCTTGCAAGTCAAAATTAGAGACTCTAAACCTTAATCCCGGGGTTGCTTGGTTCAACATACCCTACACTTGCTAATTACGTAATTTCTCCAGAAAATCTTTGTTAACACAGTTTTATGATACCTCCTCGAAATCTTTCTCCGTTCATTTCTTTCAATATGAATTTCTTTATCATTATTTCTGCCTGTTATGGCTATTATAAATTATTTTAATATTAATTTCGAACTGATAACATTTTACTTTAATAACAATCAAACAATCTTTCTTTAACTTCAGGTCTTGCACATCATAAACGAAGTGTTGGAACCTGTGCGATCCAATTCGATGGAATCACCGGTCTACAACCCAAACGCTTTTCAATTTCTGAACCAGAGCGAGAATCTCAATTTGGGCGACCATCGCGTACGGTAAGTAGACTGTTCAGTAAATCAATGCCGAAGTTCGAGAGACTCGCTATTTACACAGCGATCGTTTTCGGTAGTAAGAGTGTCTGGCGGCAGATATAAAAGAGTAACGAGGACATTTATTGCGCTCGGAAAAAGAAGAAAAGAGAGCTTTTCACGCTCTCGAATCTTAGAACGATAATACTTTTACGCGTATATCGCGCTCTTAAAATATGTTCTTTTTAAACGATATCTTTGTATTGTTAGATTTTTAAATAGTTATTGCTAAATCCTTCAATTTTCGAGAATTTCAAGAAGTCTTCTCTATAGGGAAATCGCTTTAAAAAGTACTTCTTATTTTACAGACGCGCGTTTGATTGTCACGATGTAATTAAGCTACATTTTATAAATTAATATAATTCTATACGTCGATGAAGACAGTTGTCCAGCAGATAAAGCAATTTTGTACATGTTGTAAAATTCTTTAATATGATTTTAAGAATATAATTTTAATATGATTTTCTTTTCCTAGTTTCTCATTAAATCTGAATAAACCAATCATATTAAAGAATTTCACAGCAGTTGCAAAATTGTTTTCTCTGTTGAACAAAGCCAATGTATTATAAAATATGCATGGCCTCATACTGATCTAATTATCTTATATTGATTGTTTTCATCCTCTCGAACGGTTCCATGGACATTTTAAAGTATTATTACGTCGACCCATCAATTAAAACACAGTCTTTCTAATTTAAATATAAATATAAAAAGTTGGCGCATTTAAACGTAAATAAATGCACGAACTTTTCTCGTTTGTCTTATTAACGTCGCCGCGTCTCGTACACTACCTTCGTAATTAACCCTTCTTTTTCTTTCTAGTACTTTCCGACAGCAGATCGTCATCGAGAAGAAGGAATCTATCTACAAGGCTGAAGGCCGTTTTACTTTCTTCATTCCCGTTGACGAGGGTTTCAAGGTAAGCGGCTTTAGCGACCTTCGCGAATTGATCATCCGAGGGGGATGATTTTGTGTCTCGTTGAGATCGATTTTCCTTTAAAAAATTCGAAGACAATCGCATTCGTTGCAAAGTTAAATAAAGCAATCGAGAAATATGTTTATAAAATCTACATGCCATTTATGTCAGACAAAAAAGCTTGATAACTCAAGATTTATTTAGGAAGTGACGTAAAGAAAGAATTTAATATTCATCTTTATAATCCATTTGAAAAAAGTTTGATAATAACTGAAAGTGAAATAATTTCAATCAAATATTTGGTTAAGGGATTATTCCAATCTAGAGGTTAAGGGATTATTCCAATCAAAATTATATCTTACTTTGACAGGTGATTATTAAAAAATTATACGTGATACAAAAAAATTTTCATCTACTTGTTACTTGTATTTTAATGTACAAAATATATAATTTTAAAAAACAAAATGATGGCGCTGCAGCACGTTTTTTGAAAGTCTGCATGTAATGAAGGCAATGATCCGCGACAGCAGATCTAAGATATGCTGTAGTCAAAAATTAAAAAATTATTTTTAATCTGTATTAACTTTGCTAAGAGAAATATCTGATAGAAAAAATATTGAATGAAAAAATGACGCACGCGTGAAAAATTCGACATAAAATATGGATAACAAAAAAGTATTACAAATTATCGCAAAAATCACAGTATTTCTTTAGATAATTGACAATAACTGAATCAAATTTCAAAGCATTTGGATTAATTTTGTAGTTTTAGTGTTTATATACCGTTTTTGAAACATCATTCTGAGAAAAACGTGATTAAAATTTCAATAACAATCCCTTTTCATTGTATTTTAAGCACATGGATGCATTGATTTCTGACCGAATCCGGTATAATATTAAAATTGTTCTATATTAAAATTGTATGTCAATGTCATCTACAACACAGATATGTAACTATGTATAACGTCAATGACGAAATTATTCATAAATGGAAGTTTAACGGCGGAGTGGAGATTCAGCATTGCTGTGCACCGCTCGATGTAATCAAACTGTATTTTCGTTAATATTGAGAATTTCACTTTCGAATAAAAAATTATATATATTTTTAAGACTCTTATCGATTTAAGCAAAAAAAATTTTTTGAATTTTTGGAAAGTTTCAGAGTATTTGGATAACTCCTTAATGTAATAAGAAATAATTTAACTTTTCTACAATAAATATAGTAATTGTTATTAAATGTTGATGGTGATGGATTATATTACTATGTTTAGTAATACTTATTAAATATATAAAAAAGTACACTGAGAAAAATTTCTGATTGAAAATGAACCAGTGGACTCTGATCATGTCAATCAGAACTCCGGTCATTATAATTGGACGTCTGGTTATTTCGACTAGAATTTTGATTGATATCAGAATCTATTGAATGATATCAGACTCTATTGATTCGTCCATTTCCAATAAAAAATTTTGCTCGATAAAATTATTGTTAGTTATATTAACCGAATATTTGACTGAAATTATTTCATTCAACATTTCGTAATTATTACCAGAGAGAGACTTTTTTTTTTCAATCCACTAATGTAAATTAAACTTTACTCTCGACTTAACTTACTCTTTATTTTTTCTAATTCTTAGAACAAGATAAAAAGTAAGTTAAACCGAGATTAAAATTAATCTACATTAGTGGGAAATAGATATTATTTAAAGGATTTGTTAATGTAATATTAATGCGTTATTCTTTTAAATTTTTAAATACGAGGAAATCTTTTGAATTAAAAGAAATTTTCCAGATTCGCAATGTTGAAAAGAAATGATTATTGCGTGACATCGCATGGTGATAGCACGGCCCTAGATATCGCAAAATTTACGCGCTCGTTCGGAATGTTCCGCGCACAGAACACCGTGTTGCAGCGGCGTTACACGGGATGACGTTTTACTAGCGGATGTAAATTATTCCGTACGGATACGCGTGGCATTTAGACGTTTCAAACGTCGGATTACAAACGCGACATTCCGACATTGTGTGCAAATCTATTTTAACGTCGAAGAAACACTGTACCGAGCGCGGCAGTGTCCTTTACAGATGAGTTACGTAAAAATTGATAAAAATTGGTAAAATGATAAAATGATAAATTAATGCGTACACAATTACTGTATGTGTTTTGTAGAAATTACAAGAACAACGAGTTTTCTTGGACTTTTATATACTAGTAGACGTTACCTAAAATTTCAAAATAATATCAATAATATAATTTTACGTTTAACAATGTAACTGTTATGTAATATCATGTGTTATATTACATTTATATTATCGAGTGCAAAGTTATATAATATTGATTGATATTATTTTTTGTTGTATACTTTTTAATATAACTGTTATGTAATATCATGTATTATATTACATTTATATTATCAATTGCAAAATTATATAATATTGATTGATATTATTTTTTGTTGTGTACTTTTTAATTTGTGTTGACTAGACAAGAATTTCGAAAAATGTCTATCGTATCGAACTTTCTCTTGACAGTTCTAAACAATTTAAAGTTTTCCTGTTTTTTTTAATTTATTTGTCTATTATCTTCTCTGTCTTTATCTATTTATCTATTTATTTATTATCTTCTCTATTTATTCATTTTTAGGCTACGACTCGATTCACGCTTGCAATGCTCTTGGAATATTGTTATTTTTGTTGTTTATTAAAAACAAGGACAATCGATGCTTTTAAGCGCAGTAAGCGTGAATCAGCCTTAAGCTCGTTATACAATTGCATAAAGCGAAACGTCTATAATGAGATTTTAAGGCGTAAAACTTAAACTTTAACTCTTAAGCTGTAAGAAACCGTTTCGAATATGAGAAGCACAATTAACTGTGATTCATCAATTTCTTATGGCCCAACTAGTTAAATATTCCCCTCATATTTGACTGTGATCGTCACTTCTTACAACCACTTATAATTATTCTACATTTACGCAATTAATTATAGAATGAGCTTTATAATAAGCAATGTTGCGTTGTACGAAAATCTTGAGACTAACAATGCAGAAATTAAAGGACTCAACATCATCGACAATTGTATAGATTTTATAATAAAGGCAATTTTGTACTTGTAAGATCTAGAAAAAAAATTAATGCTGAAATTAAAGTTTAGGATTCATCGACGCGACGGTCGAAAAACAATCGTCTCTCTGTCTCTTCCGATTCGTCGATGTTATTGACATTGCTCCGTAATCCATGATGCACTTTTTACTTATACTTATATGTAATATACTCATGAACGAGTATTTTCTTTCGAAGATTGCATTCGATCACGATGCACGATCGAATTACTCCAGTCGATTAATCCATCCACCGAAAGATCCTGACTTTATTCCTAATATTATCACTACGAAAGATTAGCTGACATTAGTGTCATCTATAGATTCATTTACTGTTAACACTCGCGATAATGCACGTACTTCTACATGGCTTCTTTCTGCGAAAGATCCTCGCGGCTCACTCGTCCGATTTTTTAGCACAATTGATTCGCGCGACTAAATGCTAGATTGACTTTTCGCGATGTGATGCATCGTTGATAGATAATCATCAGACACATCATAATATACATCACTAGTCTAGATTCCACTGAAGTTCTTAATTTTTTTTCATTTCGGTGTTTCTTCAGAGCTGGAAAAGAACATTACGGAGAAGCGAGATTACTTGTTCTAATTAAAGACATATAGAATGGATTGCGCTATCCATGTGTCAAGCTAGACAAAAATGATGAGAAAGGAATGATGTGAAGATGGCCAATCTTAGCTCTTTCTATTCAACGATGTAATAGGAGAGAGAATGAGAGGGAATGGCCTTCTTCACGCTCCCTCTCTCTCATTTTCGTTGACCATATTTGATATGGATGATGCAATTCATTCTATGTGTCTTTGGTTCCAATTGTTTCGCTACGACTCTTCAATTTGTTCTCCTCGCGATGTTCCTAGTGATTCTCTTCGATTCTCCTCGTGGATGGCACTCGCAGATGGCATTCGCGAAGAGAGGGTATCTCGAAATGCGAGTAAAAGATTGGATCAATCCAATAGCCTGGAAAAATAGTCGAGCCGATGGCAACGTGAGCCGATGGCAACTCGATCCGATGACAACTCGTTACGAATACCGAGAGTCGCGTTGATCGCGGTCGAGCAGATTGATATACCTACATGATTGCTCGTCGCCAGATTCACCACTTTGACTCTTGTCTCTGTACGCGAAATTCATCCGGAAAAGCCGCAAAAATCACGAAACGATCGCAACATGAGGACACACTATACTGGTGTGATTCTCGACGCGAACTAACCGGCGATTAATAAAATTCAGTTACGTGATCGGTGCGAATAGATTTCTTTTGAATGGATTTTTATTGAAAACACGTATTTACTTTGTATCGAATTATGTCATGAAAGTTACAGAATGGCTCGTAGGAAAAGTATATGTTGTACCAACAAAAAGTATGAACAAAATTCATTTTTATCATACTATTAATTAGAATTTTGCTCTCATAAAAAAATATTACATTGAAAAAAATTTATTAAATCTTAATACATATTAATTTCCTTGAATAGTATTAATTATACATTTACTTCCAGTAAATAAATATGTACTCAAAATAAAAAAAAAGATAGTTAGATAAAATTAACGGTTCTTGCATCAAATAAATATATGTTTAGCAAATAAATTACGTTTAGTAAAAGTTTATCTAAACTATTTTAACAAATATTTTAAAAAATTTAGTTTTTTTCGATGTAATGCTGCAGTTTAATTAATCACTTTAACAGTACTTTTATTATATTAGTATAAAACTTTTGTTAATTGTACGTGTAATACTCAAACTAAGTGATTAATGGATCAGTATTAAATTTCTATAAGAATGTGATATCAATTGAATTTCTGATTGTCTCTAAAATGTTTGATATAGATTTATCTATAAATGTCCATATTTTGTTTTGTTATTTGATTGAATCTATCAGAATTTCATTTAATTGGATTCCATTTAATAATCTAAAACTAGACTTTTTTTCTGTGATAAGAAATTTAGACATTTTATTTTTTAATTATTATTAATTATTACGTAACATTTTCGTTACTTAATTTTCAGCGTGAAACGTTTATTATTGTCAAAGTGCTGTAAAAGCTTTTTAACAGCGCTTTTCTAAAGGCGCTTAGTCCAAATTTCACACGTTAAAATTTTTCATTTTATTGTACTTTTTTCACGTAGTTTCAAGAAACGTCCATTAATTCTTGCGGAAATAAGGACAATTAAAAATTATGAATTTCGCTGTGCGAATCCGTGCGCATCCCACTGACTCGCGACTCCTCCGGTGTTTCATTATGCTCGCACCACAGCACTTCGGCGCGGAATTCCGCTTTTTCTCCAATTTTCAACGCCAAGCTCGCGTACTACACACAATAGTTCGCGCTCACGTAATCCAACTTGGAGCGTAAAAACGAGCCGGAGTTAAACGAGCCATCCCGTCAGAAATTACCGAAAGTTTCGCGTGTACATACGACGCGCCGAGTTTCGGATCTAAAAAAAAAATGAGGAAAGAAAGAAAAGGAAGAAAGGAAAAAAAACTGACGGGGAAGCAAAGAAAATCGTGGCCCGCCGAGAAGGGTGCGAAAGAGTGTGTAACGACGGTGTACGACTCGATCTCGAAAAGTTCTTCTCTCAACGAGATCGTCGTCTCGTCGAGAACTCCACTGTTGGTATCGAGACTCCTTCTGCGCCTTCGTCACCTTTCGTTCTTTGCTCACGAAGTCGGTCCTTCCGCAGAAATCGAGTTGCCGTGACAACGCGGTCGGCCGCGCTTTTGTGCGAAAAGCTGAGACGTCAGATGAAAGGACGAGTATATTCGGATAACAAGAAGGTGCGACGTGAGGATGTCAGCAGTCCGCGAAATAAAAACTTCTATTCTTTTCTTCTGGAGAGATAGAAGTTTATTATTTCATATCGTGTGGAAATTACAAATTACATTCTCTAACAATTAAATGCTTTTTTTTAGGGAGTAGCAAAAATGTACGACGTGACGAAATCACGCAATTAATTAATCCTAATTGAATTCACTCCGAAATTTCTTTAATTGGTATATTTGGGGGTTCAACAGTTAAATATATCTCTTTACACTGAAAGAAAATTAAATTTTATAAATATTTCCTTGAATAATTTTAAAGTAAATATTCATTAAATGTAAACATATATTTGTTTGAAAAAAACTATTATTATTTTTTTCAATTCAATTATTATTTTTTAAGTAAATATTTATTTGCTGTAAATAAAAATTCTATTTAAAAAAATATACATTAAGATTTAGTAAATTTTTTTCAGTTTACTTAAAGTTAACATAGTGATTGAGTGATTTTTTTTATTTTGAAAGTCAAATCCAAGGAATAAGATTATGTAATTTAATGTTTTACTGGCCAACAATCTAAATCTTCGGACTTTAGTGTAAAAATCTTTTTTGCACAAAGGCATCTTGTATTATATTGTCAGCGACATTAATTATAAACAATTTTTCACAAAATAATTGAAAAAAGTTGTTCCGATCCATTTGATTCGCAAATACTAATTAAGATTAAGTAATGTCGTTTTTCGTTTTCGAATTATAACCGACAATGCTTATATAATTTATATTCATTCCATTCTGATGAAATTTTCGTGATCTTCGCTTTTCTGTTACAGCCGGTGCCGAGGCCACGATTGATTGATAGGCTGGTGATCGACGGGCACGTGATACCCAACGAGGTCCTCTTCACCGCACCGACGTCAGACAATGCGCAGTATCCAACTCTCGTATTCTCCGATAATCTGAAAGTTGTCATCAGCTTTTCGAAGTCACAAAATAAAGGTGATGATCATCGCTCGTTCACCCTACGTTTCAATCATTCAGGAAATAGATTTTAGGCCATTGATTCGATTGATAGGGCGATAACATACAATCCAATCAAGAATACTAGCATTAGAGATTATTGCAATGTGTGCTTAATTTTTATTATTACGCGTTATTATATGCTTAATGCGAGAAGGCTTTGTGTACAATAAAGCATTCATGTTCAGTTAAAAAGGGTTTGTCTGTGTTGAACAGTGCCAGTGATAGATCCCTGCATATCGTATTTCGATGACTAATTGATAGTCCAATTTTCAGTCTACGTTCAATCGAACACACTGGTAGGCGATGCGACTCACACGGACGGAGTGGTGCTGGCGGAAATAGTGAAGGGGAACATTCCGGTGCGCAACGGCGTCGTTCATCTGATAGCACGACCACTCATGGTCGTCGACAACACCGTGCGGGATTTCCTAGAGGTCAGTGTACAATCATCCGTCCTCAGTTTGATCCATGAGCATCCGTACTAAGTTATTGTTGATGTTTATATTCGACCGCCATGGTTATCATGTGAATTTTTGAAACGCTCTGGCGGTCGAATTACAAATGATGATATTACTAATTCTTTGATCAGAGATATTACATTAATTCAATCAATTTATTTACGGAATCATTTTGCGATAAAATGAATTCTGCGGCAATTAGCGCGTTAATCGATAATATCGTTTGACGCTCAATTATTAGAAGTTGAGAATAATGAAAATAATGTTGGTCAGTTTAATAGACAGCGTAAATGTAATGAATTATAATGTACACGGTGCGTCATGATGTCGCATCATGTTGGGATCGCGCGGCCTCATCATCATTTTCCCTATATTTATTAAAGTAATTTACGTTGAAACACGGCTGCAT